GGCAATGGGGCTAAGCCAAGACGTGACCAGGTTTCTTTTTTTGACCCTTGTATCAAGGGAGAAGGGTGTGGATGGCCCACCAACTCTGGGGCACTGCTAAAGGCACCACCCAGAGCAAGTATTGGGGAGTAGCAGTTGGAGATGATACTGAAACAAGGGAGGACAAAGTCTGCAGTCTCATCTTGTTTTTTCTTCAGCCTTCACCTCCAGCCTGCTGCTTGATAGAAAATGCCCTCAAAGTACAGGTGATAGGGAGAAAATTCATGTTTTCTTCAAGACAACAGTTTCTCCACTCCTGTTCCAGGAAAACAAGCAGCAACGTGGGAGCTTTCTGGAGACCACGGGAAAATTTTTCTTCGGTCCCATATAGCCCAGAAGGTTAAGTCCCCTCTTCTCAGACACACCTAGATAACAGAAGCTACATTATATGATCCATGCTTATCAGCATTTTACATTTTAAAACACTCCTCGCAACACAAGTTTCCTCTTCCTTTGCTAAGGAAGGGAGTCTGACACCTTCCTTAAAGGTCTCTAGCAGTGCAACCTTGCCTGTCCGCACGCTATATGGACCTTAAATCATATCCCTAGGGCTTCCTGCCCAGGCCTGCAGATGCCCGAGAATCTGTCCCCCTCACCAGTTGTAAACACAGAAGCTATTTTTTGAACTTCTTCCTGGCCCTTTCACAGGAACCAGAATATTATTCCTCTCCTACAGGCAATGGCCAAGGGTGGGAAGCACTCAATCAGAAGACCGGAATCACAACGTTGGTATCTGAAGGCAAGGTGACAGCTCTTCCTTCTCTCAGAGCACACAGCTGGATGAGCTGCCCTGCCTCGGCAGCAGTACCCATGCAAGCCGAAGCACGCTGGTGAGGAGGGCTGACCACAGGACTCTGTGTGTGCATGCATGTCAAGGCAGACACCATCAGAGCAAGTCTCAAAGGCTGTTCCAGTGCAACTTCAACCATTTGCACGTGGGTTTCTGCTGGTGGGTGAGCCACTACACACGCATATCTGACAGCCTGACTGTCTAAAACCCTTTGGGAAAATGCACTGGCATAGCATGTGGAATCCTTTGGGGGCTGGCACATTTCTGCATGTATGTCCCTGGCAACCAAGATACACTATGGAGCTGTTGCAGAAGGCTACCTCTCTGCCCTCATTTCATAAGTGCCCTAGATGGACTATTTAAATTCCAAACATTTTCCTTTAACTGGATTTTACACACTTTTTTCAAGATTATACTGATCAAATTTATTTTCCAAGTTAATGACAATTTATGATAAAGCCATTTAAACAAACAAATTCGTCATTTGGACAAACGCATACGCACCCTATCCAAGCAATGCATGGTTGCTGGCGAATGCTTAAAAGAGGTTAATTCCCGAACTCTAGAAAGTCACTAAGTCCACAGAACCAGAATCCACTGAAGTACCAAGCAAATCTTTCTTAAAAGGACAGAAAGACTAGTTTCTTCAATTCACTTATTAAATTAGTTCAGTTCACTCAAAGTTGGGGGAGGCAGCATAAAATGGCTGGGGAGCTGTTTCTCTTTTCCAGTCTCTGAATAAAAACAAGATGCGGGAGGATGAGTTATGCTCATTCTCAGATCTGGAAGGACACAGTGACCAAAACCAACCAGTTCATTTTGCTAAGTACAGATAACACTACTCTGTTAAAATAAGTCAGTTTTAATAGTGCACACTCCAGCAAGCATATTTTTTCTTATGTATCCAGTGTGTGATTATAGTCTAATTATTAAAAAAATTGCATATTTAATCTGACCTTTTTATTCAAATGCAGTTTTGAAGAAGTCATGAGGAAAGAAATTACTCACCTAGCAAACACAAATGACCATTTTCTAATGTAAACATGTACTGTCATATAATAGCATCAAGGGTGTATATAGATACACTGTATCATCCTGTTTAGCAAGAAGTAGTAATAGATTAGCCTACCCAATTCAAATAAACCTGCCTTTTAAGAAAGTATCAAACACAAAACAAAGCTTAAATGAATTCAATTAAATCACCAGCTGTAATCATGATTTAAATCAGTATGTGGGAAGCCTTATTTAACCATGTTAACCCATTAACCTTGTTTGTTTCAGAGTTGTGCTAGGACCAGCAGGCCAAGACTGCTCCTCTCCCTGGAGGGAGAAAGGATACAACTTCCATGCCCAGTTCATTTCAATAAATTTTACAAGTATACTTGCCAATATAAATATTACTTTTTAAACCTTAAAACAAACTAGAAAGCCTTACATGCCAGGAGACACCTACTCTCTTGTCAGTCATCTGCTTTAGCAATCAGTCTGATCCTCACCTAACATCCTTTATTTACATCGCAGAGCAGTTTCTATGCGTACACAATACAACCTGACTCTACAGCATGGTTTTTAAATTGCTTCAATCCTCACATCCCACGAGATAGTTCTCCTACTTAGTTTTGGTCTGTTCAAAACAAGAATTAGATTTCTCATTCTCTAGCATTGTTCTTTTCATTTCTTCATCAGCTTCTCACTAAATAAACATTTATCTTTTCCCCTCCCTTAAACACACTGGACGGTCTGTAGTGCCCTGCTCTCCTCTGCGCACTACCCTCATTAGCCTTTCCCTTCCCCAGGTAAGATACTTAAAAGCTTGACAGTGTATACTTCAAAGCGATTTATGAAATTATACTGAAATTGAGTATATCACCTTAACATTTTCTTTTTGACACTCAATAAAGCAAGTAATTTTGCTTTATAGGAACTCTGGGTTTGAGATCTCCAGATCTAAAAGTGCAAGCTACACTGGCTCCAGGGGTGTCCCGTTTTTAGTGAGGACACAAGAAAGGAATTTGTGCTCCAAAAATGGAAAAAAGGTATTCTGTCCTGAGCAGGAAGTCACTGAACAAAAACCACACAGGAGTGCTAAAGTAACCCATCATACCACTTTTGATAGAGAAATTTTTAAGATCAGCCAGAACACGGAGAGCCTCACCTAATTTAACAATATCATACACATCTCTCAAAGCCAAACTCCCTATGGTACAGCTTCTAGCTGCAGTAATCGCAACAAAACTGCTAAGTCAAATGCTGTACTTGTATATTAGCAGATCTAGTGTATATGATCTAGTGACCAAGTCCAACCTGTTTGCAGCCTAAATGCAGGCATGCACCTGTCAGCAGGCAGCATTCCCCCAAATTCCCTCCTAAGATGAAGTTCCTTCGCACTGAGAGAGTTTCCACAGCCAAGAGAATGTGATTCTGCCTTCCTAAATCATTCAGTTGTGAGGAAAACAAGGCAATACATCCTACTGCAGACCAGAAGAAAAATTTCCCCCACTGAAACCAAAATAGCTTTGTATAGAGCCCTAGAACGATTTCGGGTTGGAAGAGACCTTTAAGGTCATCTAGTTCCAACCCCCCCTGCCATGGGCAAAGATACCTGCAACAGCTTTCACCTCGGTTCTGAAACTGATTTTTCTCCAAGATTGTCAGGTCTGTGAATCTTATGATTTGGGGAGGGCAGGGGAGAGTGACATACAATCTGCTAAGCCTTCCTATTCAAAATGCAAAGACCCACACATCTGCAACAATGAGACTTTCACAGCAGCTGCTTCCAGAGCAGAAAGCAGGATCACCCTTCATCACATTCAAGACAAAGCACATTATATTCTATACTCTTCCTTGGGCAGATGGGAACACAAGTTCTGAAAAACAGCAACAGTTAAAGACCTTAAACTCAAAATTTGGAAAACTGTCAATCTTGATAGCCATACAATCACAGACCAGATATAATTACAAGACATGACTTTGAGGGTCTGAGACCATCACCACTGGATCAAACATCTAACAGCAGCAAGAAATTCACCCTTCCATTTATCATAGAATGAATGCGCCGAGTTGTGAGGACTAATCCTAGAGAAAGCACCTTTCTTGGAAAAAAAAAAAAAAAAGTCATAGCAATCAAACGCACTTTAACACAGTGGGAACACGACTCTTCCTGCAGGTGTGAGATCAGGAGAAGGCAGAAAACTCACGCTCTGTACTTGTACAGCTGCATGCCTGTTCTCCTGCACACCCTCCGCCTGCCTCCTCACTGCACAGCCAGCTGGTAAAGGAAACATGCTGACAAGGCACAGAGAGCTGCGGCAGCAGCAACTGGAAACAACTGAAAACAGTAACCCAAGGCACACGGCCAGGACACACTAATTCTGCAATAAGGTTTCCCGTTTCTTATTTTTTTAGATTAGGCAACTTATATTCATAGTGCCTGCTACGGTACTTCTCCTTGCATCCCTTCACAACACAAATAGCTGCAGGTTTCCTCTGTCAGCTACAGAACTCCCAAGCAGCTCTGCAACAACCCATGTTCTGTCCTACTGAAGGCTGGTTTGGGTTTATTCCCCCCACCGTTTTTGGTTTTGCTTTTTTTTTTTTTTTTTGGGGGGGGGGGTGCTATTAATTATTTTCACCCCTGCTTTTTTCCTGCAAAACCTGGCCTTCCCATATGAAGAAGCATGCATGGGCGCATGCACGTATGAGAAAGAAGTATCACTGAACTCAGCACTAGATTTCAAAATGGGGTTATGCCAGGAAGCCACACGGTCAGCCTGCCCTCGCAAGTCTTACAGCAGCAGTAATCTTCTAGCGAATGTGTTGCAGGTGTAATAGCAGCGGAAGCGCGGCAAGGCCAAACTCCATCTGGTCCTGGCATGATGAGTACCGCGTCCAATGCCCTTTTTCCACAGCCCAAAGGAAATAAGGGCTGAGCTCAGCCAACGCTCGGCTGAAATTTTTCAAACTGTGTTTGCCTCCCTAACTAGAAGATAAGGCTTTTTTTCTGTTTCTACCTCGGCAGGGGGGGGTACGTCTTGATTAAGACTCACTCACTCCACAAACCAAGCCCACCACTCACTAACGGAAGTAAAAAACAGCTTTTCCTTTTTCTTCTGTCTGTCCTCAGGTACAGCCTTCTCCCTGACACCTGGGGAACAGGAGACACTCCACGTACCTTGGAACGAGCAGCAGAACCGAGAGGACTCTTCCCTACAGACAAACATAACCTGCAGTCATAGCCAAGCCAGAAACTGGCTGCACGCAGTGATCCAAACGGTTAGTCAGAAACGTGACTCAGTGTTGGAGACTCCCTCAAAAAAGCCTTGCAGTGAAGGGCCCAGCTGTGCCTTTAGGAAAAAGAAAAAGGGGGGAGGAAATTTCAGGAGATAAAGTATTTTTACTGGTGATCCAAGGTTTGCTTCCGGCCCATAACGAAATACCCGTCTTGACAGATCTGTGGACCTTAGCACAACGAGTTGCAGTGAAATGGCACAATTAAGAGTCATCACCAATGTAAGCAAAGTTACCTTTTAACAGCACCATGCAAACCGACGGCTGTGCGGACAAGTGTGTGTCCTAGAAAGCTTGTGATCTGGGTTGACAGGATACAACAGGTGAACGAGAAGGAGAAACGCAGAGCTGAGCGGAGGAGACAAGGGAAGAGGAAAGCAAACAAGTTACCACAGAGCAAGTAAACATCTGCATGCTGACAGCATCTCTGGAGAGGGCAAACAGCAATTGGGGCTCTTCGGATGCACGGTAACAGCCACGAGTAACAGACATCCCCTCCCTAAGCGCCTGCTCTAGCTTGCTAGCTCCATCCGCCTGCTGCTGCCGCCCGTTCCCGGCCCC